AATATATATATATATATATATATATATATATATATATATATATATATATATATATATATATATATATAATATATATATATATATATATATATATATATATTATATAATATATATAATATATAATACACACACATACATATACATACATACATACATACATACATATATACATACATACATATATATATATATATATATATATATATATATATATATATATATATATATATATATATATATATATATTATATATATATATAGTTGAATAATGCTAAGACTCAGATCATGTATATAATGAAAAGAAAAAGAAATCCAGAAATTGGAAGAAGACTGGTCTGATTTGAGAATACTTTTTATTCAAATGTTATTACTTAGAATAAGGCAATGTCGTTGAACCTTGTACCAGAATGTGAGCTTCAGCCTGAAGAAAATACACATTCTTTGACCAGAGGTTGATATCTTAATTATAGAGAGTTTAGAAAACATATGTGAATGCTCAACCAAATTTCCCTTCCAGTGGTGTTTATACACTATGCTATGAGGGCTATCACTTGTAAGCCAGTGAATTTTATGTTTTAGTATTAATTTTACCTAGGAAAGAACTTGCACCCATTCCATTGCTTTGGTACAGCACTTCAACACGTGTCAATATAGTCAAATTATGGACAGGTTCCTTCGATGGAGGAGAACACACCCCAAAGCTGCTTCACTGCTCGCACACAGTGTGCCTTCACTGTCTCACAGGAATTGTAGCCTCCCATGCCAGAGATGATGGCACATTTCGTTGCCCAATATGCCGGGAATCTATACGAATCCCCTCTGGTGGAGTGGCTGCTCTGCCACCATCGTTCCTGGTTAACCAACTCTTAGATCTCATGTCAAGACAAAGAAGAGAAGTTATACCCAAATGTTCTACACATGCCAATCAGGTAGGCAAATTAGAATTTATTCAGATTTTGGAATATTATTGCTTAATATTTGAAAAAGGGCAAGTATTGCATTACTTTTTTTTTTTTTTTTTTTTTTTTTTTTTTTTTTTTTTTTTTTGCTTAATATAAATTCTTCCTTTTATAGGAGCTGTTGTTCTGCGAGTCTTGTGACCTTGTCTTCTGTACTCAATGTAGTAATGGCTCCCACCAGGGAAGTGCAGCAAGTTACCAACATACTGTTATTCCACTTTCTATTGCCATCAAAAGAATGTCGGAGATCCTTTGTTACAAAGCAAATGAATGTTATTCTAAGGTATGTGAAAATAATGTTTTGAACAGGGTTTTGTATTAACCCCTAGCCAACTGGGGGCATGTATGTACATGCCATGGCTGTTGTGGACTGAACGACGGGTGGCATCGTGTCATGACCATTCCCCCGCCCCTGGCTCGTCGGATGGAGTTTGTTTTTCTCCGATAGTAGCGGCTTCATTTATATGGTAAAGATTTTAGGCAATGGCACCTATATTGAAGGTAAACCTTCAAAATTTTAATATTTTTGTAAATTATAGCAAAATAAAAGCTTTTTGGTGCTAAATGTTGCTCGCAAACTACCGATCGAGCCGGGCGCAAACATGGGAAACTGCTGATGTGCGCCAACAACCCCGTCCATACGTCAACTTGCCAAACATTTTTACATGTCAGCATTGGGTTAAAAAATAAGATAAGAAGTAAATTCTTAGCATAAAAGAAAAATAACTGCTAGTTTGTGAAACTTCAGTGAATGGTAAAGTAGCAATTTATCAGAGACATTATGCCTTTGTTTTATTGTTGTTTACCTGTTGCATATGTGGGTAATAATCAATATATGTGACTGATCTGAACTTTCATCTTTCAAATGTTGTCTGAACAAATTGAGATGGAGTGAGTAATTTTATTTCAATAAGTATTTGAAATCTTGGAAGACAAAATAGTATGATCAGCCTGACAAATGTAAATGGTTCTTTTCTGTGAAATGGAAGGATATTGATTGATTTATGGATTGTAAGGGACAGATAATGTTTTATATAAAAAGGCTGTAGATTTGGTACTTAACCCAATGTTGACGAGAAAATGTATTCACTTTAGTATTGTTTTCTCAAATGTTTCTGTACATAGATGGCTCTGCCAGTGCTTATCCTCAAAGGCATCAATTAGTAGATCGTGTGAATCTACCTTTCTATGAAATAACAGGAATTTTTTTTTTTTCTAATACATTCAATATTGACACTGTTATTTTTGTTATAAGCATGATAATTACTATATTGTTATTAATATTACTGACTGCAGTATTGAATACTAGGAAATATTATTGAAAATTAAGGAAAATGGTAAACAGATGAGCCAAGTAGTTCTTGTAATTGGCTCAATGGTGATGTGTACTATACTGGTACTGGTGACTTGTATTGTACATTGTACTGGTGGAGCCATTTACATGTAAAAACAATTACTAAATTATACATAGTGGGCATGACATATACGCACATGCCATCTCCGGCAGCAAGTGGTTAAGATGTATTACTCTAGGTCTGACTTATTTGTAATTAAACTAATTACATTGTTTTACATTTACTTGATATTGAGTTTTACCAACTCCAGTCTGAATTCCATCTTAGTCAGATCCTGGCCCTACAGGCATGATGATTATGAATTAGTTAACCCATTTATGACGGGTGTCCCACATATGAGACACCTGGAAAAAAAAAATTGCTGGGCCAGTGTGACACTGTATCGGGCTCGTGCTCCGACTCAGCAGTGGGCCGCGGCCAGTGCGTGGGCAGAGTCTGGGCCAGCCCCTTGCACCGATTTTGTAGCCGCCCTTTTATTTTCGGCTTCATAACTTACCGGCGTTAGTGGATTAAAACCTTCTCTTCTTGATTTTTTACTGTTTTGCACATGCAAATTCAATGTAGGAAGATGCATAGATAGTGATTAATTAAAAGATAATTGCTTATTTTTGGTTGTCACTTTCCATATAATCTGAAAGGGAAAGAAGTCACTGTTGCTTATTTTTCTATGTAAGCATATGGAAAAAAGAAGCTGAGAATTTGCTAAAATGTCATATATATTAGTATGGGATATTTTTTGCCAAACAATAATTGGATATTTATGATAATATGTTCAGAATTTAGTCTAAGGTTTAGTGTATTCACACTTAACAGTTAAATGAAGCCAGTGATGCAGTGACATCGGAGATGCACCAGCTGGATCATGCTGTTGACAACACCTTTGAAGATGTCAACAGAGCATTCCAGGCCATTATTGATATTATAGAACAACGGAGAGATGCTGTTATCAGCAATGTTAAAAAGATGCGGGATGAGAAAAAGAAAGTTTTACAAGTAAGTCAATTTATTTTTATCGTAGATTATTTTATGATATAAATTGTATCAGTTAATATATAGTTTGTCCTGATTTACCTAAACTTTCCATATTATTATGTTTTAAGCTTTTGTGTTTCCAATGCATCTCCTTCCTACTTTTACTCTTGATAGTTTAATGGCTTCAAGAGGAGTATCTGCTATATAGTTAGGGTATTTTTGGGTCTGGTTACTATACCTTTATTTATTTTTTTTATTTTTTTTTGTAGTAATACACTTTCAGCTAGCTTCTTTAGAAAGATTATGATGAAAAGATTAGTTTTGACATGGTTTTCAAAGTCAAGGGAAGATACTCATAAAATTTTGTCATCTCTCATGATGATGAAAATGAATGTCTTGAATCAAAGTGAAGGAACAGAACATAGTTTTCACATAGATTTTGATTATTAACCTGTCATTTAAAAACTGTCAGGCAGATTTTGCATTCTTGGAATATTTGACACCCTTTGGCCTTGAACTAATTGATAGAATTTTTTTGTGCTGGGAAAAATAACTTTGTAGGGGGATATCGGGTCCCAGAGTGATCAATAGGATAAGATATAAGGATCAAAACACAATTTTTTAGGCTAATACAGTGGATACACAATATTTTCATTAGGAATATAAGACATGACCAACTTATAAAAACAAAAACAAAAACAATGCAGACTTATCACTTCAAATTCTACATTGCAAATATATTGATTTTACACACAAAGTGTTCTAAGAATTTATTATTAGAAAAAGACATTATTTTCTAGGAGACCCAAGCATCTGCATACACCAAATATAGAATTAAGCAGTTAGACCATTATACCATGTCTGTAGTTGCTGTTACCACCAAGCATTGAAATATGTTGAGGGTAATCCAAAGTATGATAATAAGAACAAAGAAAAAACAATATCTGCACATTTTTTTAGGAGGTAAGCTTTTTATAAAAGAAAGAAAGAAAATAGATAAGAATGTTTTGCAATATTTGAGGTGCTTTTATATATTTATTGTAGGTGTCAGGGAGAGATGTGGGATAGATATTGCAAGATTTTCTTTTACTTAGTGGGAAATATTAACCCATTGTATCTGGTTGCATCACGGAAATCACAGTGCTGAAAACATGAGCAATGGTTTATGTAAGTGGCCAACATCCCTAGTGTGTGGCGTGTTAGCCGGGTGCTCAAGAACACCCATGAATGGTCACAAGAGTATGTACCTCCGCTTTGCAAAGATATTTTGTGTAAACTCTTTGAACTTCATCGCCATTTTCCAATGTCCATATTTCTTTTGATTTGCTCTATCTAAATGGTAATAGCTTATTTTCCTTGTACAGACTTCATATCATCGCTCTCTCTGTAGTAAATAACTCGGTTCAAGAAAAAAAAAAAAAACATTTGGTTATTTGTGTCATATATCTAATTTTTTCATAATTTTCAATTTCCCGTCATACAACCTGCTCATCCGGTCACAGAGGCCAGGAATACAGTGTGCAGCATGGAAATGGTGTCCTCCCTGGAGCTGGTGTATGTTACATTCCACATTCGTTTATCGATGGGAATAATGCTGAAGCCCCCTCCTAAGTGCCAAATGAGTCAAATTGCTCTCCAAGAGGTTTGTGCACTTGTGACGAGTCTTTTCTGTCACCCTGGCTTCCGCTCATGATGGCAAGTTTGTGGCACCAGGAAGATGGTCAATTTTCGAGGAGGATTATATTCATATCAACACACACACACACACACACACACACAAATTTAACCATATAGTAGGCCTACATCAACTTTTAGATGTAAAGAAATAAAATATATTATTTATCCCTATCAAACCGTTTTCTTTAAAAATTTACAAAAGTAACAGTTTTCACCGTGAAACGAGTGTAGACTTGGTGTTCGATCATTTGCACCCATTATCTTAACTAAGAAGTGCATAAAATCATCAGACACCAAGGTGTGCTTAGATATTTGTGTATTTATGGTACCTAAGACCTTTGGTAATGTCTACATGTAATAATTTTTTACGGAAACTCACAAGGATGCAATAGCTGATTTAACTCTCGATAAAAATTGCTCAAAATTTCATTTAGTTTTTATTTCAGAGTGGATATGACTGTGTACTTACATCTCCGTAGTTCAAAGATCCAACTTCTAGGTGCCTTTTTTGTATTGAAGTGCCCTTTGCAGCAAAAATGACCAATTTCAAACCAAATCAAATTTACCAATGCTGGTAAGTACTGACTGTTGAGGATAGTCTAAGGGAAATATTTTAATCATTGTTTATACAGCTATTTTCAAACATTACCCAGGAGTCTCAGTGGAAGGCATATTTCATGTGTGAAAGTACTCAAAACTTGATTTTTTTAGATAAATTTCACTAAATATTTTGTCTTAAATCACTGTGATGTAATTTTTTTTTTGTTAATGGTATAAAAGTGTTTTTGAATATTCATGAACTCATATCTATGTGCCGTATGCAAGATTGTAACAAGTGAAAGCCCACACAAGTGTAGCCAGGCACATATTAGTAGTGTACCTCCCCACTTGGTGGGTCTTGTGTACGCCACCCGAGAGCTAATCATAACTGGGATTTAACCCACTAATGACGGGTGTCCCACATATGAGACACCCGAAAAAATAAATATTGCGGGGCGTCCCGCCAGTGTGACGCTGTATCAGGGCTTGCGCTCCGACGCAGCAGCAGGCCGCGGCTGGCGGGCAGGCAGAGTCTGCCTGCCGATTTTGTAGCTCGAGTCATTTCTTGGGTAGCTGGCGTACGCGAGAACCGCCAACAGAGATATGCAGCTAATATGCGGCCGGTACACTTGTGTGGACTTTTGTTTGTTGCAATCTTACATACGGCATATGATAAAGACATTGCGCATAGATTTGAGTCTGTGAATTTTCAAAAAACACTTGTATACCAATTATAATTAGATCACAGTTATTTGTCATCAGATATTTTGTGAAATCTTTCTAAAAAAAAAAAAAAAGTCTTGTGTACTTTTACACATGAATTGTGCCTTCCATTAAGACTCCCTGGTAATATGTTGTAGCTTAGGAAGGGATCTATATGTGTACCAAGTATGAATCACTAATGTTTGAAAATGACTTTATATATAATATTTGAAATATTTTGTTTTGACTTCACTGTAACCATTGGTACATTCCAACATCAGCAAATTTAATTTGATTTGAAATAGGTAATTTCTGCTGTAAAGAGCACTTTGATATGAAGGCCACCGAAAAATGGGATCTTTGAACTTCGGAGATATAAGCAAGATATCAATTATTTTATGTAGAAGATGACAGTAATATCTGCTCTGAAATAAAAACTTGTTCTTATGTGTAGTCTTAGTCTGGAGTTAAACCAACTGGGTGGGTGCTTCATGCTCAGGGTGATGTGAAGCGATGGTGTGGTAGCCTAGGTAGTGATAAGTGCTTGCATATCTTCTCGCTTACAGCTGCCGCTGCTGGCCAGCCTAGTGCGAAAAAGGGAGCAGCTCTACATAAGCCTCCCCTGCCAGTTAAGAGAGAGCAGCTCTGCCATGAGCCTCTCTTATCATCGCAGTGCCTCCTCATGGCCACCCATGGAAATTCGGTACCTTGTGGTCCCAGGTTAAAATGAGGGGGAGCTCAGAGTAGTTGGAGGCCCCAGAGGTACAGGGTCATGGCCCACTGGCTTGGGTTTATACCAACTCCTGGCCATAAGCCCCCTAGTGTTAATGGGAGGCTCAGGTAAGGTGGGCCTTGCCAGACCTCCTCCGCCCAGATAAATCCCTTTCCCCCCTAGCAGCACCCCCAAAAAACAAAATTAGAAAATATTCTATTTATGCAGCATAAGCAGAAGACAGATCTGCTATTATGGCAATGGATTGGTATCCGCCATAGGCTGGTGTCAATCATCTCTTTAAGGAGCTTTTGGGTGTGGGCTGTGAGTGCCCACAGGTATGGCTGGTGTGCTGGAGATCGCCGGGGAGAGCCGGGGCGGCTCACCCGTCGGCTAAGGCCTGGGTAGGCCTTGTTGCTGCTTGCTGTGTCTAGCTCGGCTGGAGGATCGTGAGTGCTGATCTTGGCCCGGGTGCGGGAGCTTAAGTGGGTCTGAGCTGTGCCAGCCACCCGGGAACGAGGGGAGCCTGCGGTCCAATAGGCGAGCCGTAAGGTGTCCGTGGTCAACCAATCAGGTCTCGGTATGAGTCGTCGAGAAGCTGCTGATGGTGAGGGCGAGAGGACAGGCTGTGGACCTGGACCCAACCTGGGGGAAGTATGCTGCGCTGCAGGTTGCGGGGGTCAGCTACACTATAAGTATTTTCTGGGGATAGATCAGAATAAAAAGAAGAAGAAAAATAGATGGGTGGGGCTACTGCACCCTCAAAGGGGGGCAAGGCTAATATGATATATGAGACAAAGCACTTTTATATTCTCTATATTATGCAAAAACAATCCACAAGCTATCTTGAACTAATTTTTTTTTTTATGATGAAATGGGTAGTGCAAGGTAGGCATTTAAAGGGGTGGTTTCCTTATCCCATTAACACCAGGTTAAAAATTTGGCTGTTGACCATTAACACATCCAACAGTTTCCCCTGTTTGTGCCCGGCTCATTTTGTAGTTTGTGGACAACATTAGGCACCTAAAAGCATATATTTAGATATCATACAAAAAGGGTTTACCTTCACTATAGGTGCTCTCACCTAAAATTTTCACCATAGAAACTAGTGGAGAAAAACAAGCTCAGTCCAATGAGCCAACAGAGCAGGAATGGTTATGTTATGCTACCTGCTACTTGGTCTACAACAGCCAAGACAGGTATGTACATGCCACCTGGCATCAAGGGGTTGTTAAGATTAGCCTATATATTTCATGTTAATATAAAAAAAAAAGAAAAAAGGAGCTCACCTATTTTAGTTTGGTATCAATCATATTTCATCAGAGTAAACCTTACCATATTGTTTTTTGCAACTAAAGTAAAGCAGAAAAAAATATTCTTTGCATGGCATTGGTGCCTGTGTTGCTCAATTTGGTGTTTTTAAAGGCTGGGAAACATGGATATTAGACACCTCACCAAACCCCTGTGGTAGTGAGTCCAATGGGAGGCTCAAAGCAGCACTGAGATTTATCTGGGTTCAGGCACATTCTTAAAAAGTCTTGAAGTATCTTCAATTTTGGGGGGAAATTTTAGGCCTTAATGTCTCAAAAAATATAGCTTTTTCTGTCGCAGGTCTTGAAATATATTAAATTTGCCCAAGGCATATCTTTGTGCAATCATAGGTCAGCAACATAGACCTTGATCTTTGCTGATTGACGCAACCGTCTACTTATGGGCAATGTGCAGAATAATCATTCTGCGCACAATCTATCCAAGAGGGTGTGTAAAAATCTTATTGGGTTGAATTTTTTTTATCTTGGTCACTGTCGCAACAAGTAGACCCACACAGTATGGAGAAATGTGTATTTAGTGACAAGTGGCTCCAGGTCTTAGAAAGTAGTTGGTCTCTTAAAAAGGTCTTAAATATTCATTAGCTTATACCTGAAAGAACCCTGTTTATTAAATTATGGCTCAGAGGGAACTGTATCAGAGTAGGTGTATCTGCCAATCATGGGTATCATGACTTTGAGTCACCAGTGCAAGAAGTAGTTTAGAATGTTGCTACCAAGAGTAGGGGTATGTCACAACAGAGTGACTTAGAGTTATTAGCAATGGCATTGAATTGATGTGGAATTATTAGCAATGGCTTGGAATTGCTGTGGGCTAGTCTACCTAATGTGGGAATGGTAAAGGATTGTATTATTTGGTATGGCAAAAGTAGGAGCTTGACACACCCAACTAGTTTGTAGAAGGCTGCATTTACATGGAGTAGGTTTGGGCCTGTCTAACAAAAGAATTGGTAAGGCACAAACTACACAGCAAGAGGAGAAAAACCTGTAGTGGTAGAGCTACATGCTGTTTGCATTGTTTGCTCCTGCTAGTCAGTTGTAGACCAATTAAAGTACAAGGGACAGCCACTGCAGCAGTTGCTCATCTGAAAACTGCAAATCCTTGGATATGTGTGGAAAATCATGTGACTGAGCATATCCTAATACATTAGAGGAAACAATCAATAAAGATATGGAAGGAGACAGTGAAATATTAAAAATGAGAGAGACACTCACCCACAGCTACCCCAGGATTCTAAGTAAGAAGGGAGTATAAAGGGGTGCAATACATGCAATCTCACAGACTACGGGCATTCATATCTACTGTGACGTTGCTGATCGTGATTAGTGAAAATGCACAATACATATTTTTTCTTCTCTATGAAATGACAGACGGTTCAAGTTATCCTTGCGGATGCCGATGTCATTTTCCTTGTCTATTCTCATGTCTATCTGAGATGGTTAGTAGCTCAAGCAAGTTTGTGAGAACTGCTACTCCCCTCTCCCTCATTTATTTTTCTTTCTGAAAAATACAAAAGTAAAAAAAAAAAGACGAAAAAATGGAATAACCACTTTAAAAACTGCAAATTAGCATAAAAATAACCCACATTTAAAAACTGCGAATTAGCATAAAAATAACGGCTAACAGCACTTAATTAACATCCCTCCCTCTCTGTTGTTTTTTCTTTTTCTCTTATTATCTTGGCCCTTACGTGTATGAACTGGTTCATAATGTATATAATGGAAGGGTATATCCGACGCGGCCTCAAAGGAGATCTAACTGCAGCATGATCACCTTGCAATGCCGTGAGACGAACATCGCCAGAAGATCGCCACAGGCCAAAGGACGAGGACGCGAAATTGCAGGTATTAAGCCGCCCAGATCAAGTGGATGAGCGCTGCCTGTCAGTACTTCTGTAGATCCAGTGAAGAACCAGGAACTTGTCAGAGCAGGCCCCATGATGCTATGAAAAGCCGCCTGCCTGGATGCCTGTAGATCGGTGAAACTCCAGGAGCTCCCCAGCCCAGGAGTAAGCTGCCCTCAGATGAAAGGACGCTCAGGAGGCTGTCGACCTAGACGTGCAGGCTACGAGGACGTCGGTATGAGCTGCAGCTGAGAAGGACCTGGACGAATCTGCGAGGACGTGTGGACGACGATGCTGCCAAGTACCACCTGGATGAGGACTACGAGGAAAACTGGACGGACCGAAGTCAAGGAGGACCCAGAAGAAACCTTCAAGGACGTGTGGATGTCGATGACGGATGGATGCACCAGGGACCAAGATGAAGAGGTTCACAACAAGGAGATCCACGAGGATAACCTAGGGCAGGAACGCGACGTGATGACCAGCAGATGGGGTATTATGATAGGTCACCCTTGAAGAATTCAGATGACGCCACGATGACGAGGCTATGGGGTGTTCGAGCGATATAAAGCGGTGCAATACATGCAATCTCACAGACCACGGGCATTCATAACTACTGGGCCGCATGGTCACCATGTGGCAACGTGCCACGCTGGTAACCCACGCTCCCTGCCTGCCCTCGCTGAACCCAGAAGTCATGCCGCCAAGGGGTATATAAGGTCATCCAAGCTGACCCTCATTCTCACTCACTCTCTGATGGTCACCTGCCCTAGCAGGGCGTGGGCCTCCCTCACTCACTCACTCAGCTCACACCTTTGGCAAGCCGGCCCCTTGGCAGGCTGATCGCTCCTGACCTGAGCTGCCGCTCCTGGACCTCTAGCTGGAGTTCCACATAGCACCGTTCTTCGTTTATCGTTATTCTTGTGTATGTGTTGTAACTCTTAGAAATAAAGAGAACAGCCAGACCGGGTATCACTAACGCCACCTGTAATTCAACTACACTATATAGAAGAGGTGTTAGTACCTCTTGTAGGGAGCTAGAAGAGAACAAGACAGGTAGAGAAGGAGTGGGAAAGGGGAGTGCAAGAACACACCACTAGGAAAACACCAAAAAAGAAAGAGCAAAACTCATTCTACTTTAGAAAAGTAGAGATGAAGAATAAGAAAAGACATACAGCAATTCCATAAAAAATAAGTTGTGAAAAAGGAAAACCTAGAAGTTGATGAAACCAGAAACACTCAGTGGAGTAGGGTAGAATACATATCACAGTAAATCTGTGAGGCATGTAAGCAGCATTGTGTTTACATTCTGAAGCATCTTGTGATAGTGGAGCTCATGAGGGGGATAGGTTTCTAACTAGGATTTGGATGCATGGTAGCAGTGAATAAACTTAGCTTATATTTCTAGTTAGGCTATCATGCCTTATCTTTTGTGTGTTTAATTTCAGTTCTTAATGGGCCAGAAAAGTATTATTGGGTCTAAAGAATTTTGCATGCAAATAATTTTTTTTTTTCTTTCAGGACCAACTTGACATTATTGAAAGTGAAAGACGCAAAGTCCAGCAAGAATGTGAAGGCCTACAGTACCAGGTTGAAGTCCGGAATATAACTAAAAAGATTGCACATTTGAATACAAAAATAGACTCGCTTTCAACACTCGTTGAGCCACGAGAGAATGCCTTTCTTCGTTTTGAGAGTCAGCATAATGAAGCATTTGAACACATCCAGACTACCATAGAAGACTATGGTAGGGTGATGACCAGCAAGACATTCCCAAGCTTGTGTTTCATGAAAGCTAAGAAAGCTATGACTCACCTAAGGAGTGAGGTGGTGGTCTACACTGTGGACTATGATGGAGAAAGTCAAACAACTGGAGGTGATCCATTAGAATCAGAAGTCAAGTCAGAAGGTGGAGATCTGATTGACAGCCAGATTGAAGATAATGAAGATGGCACATATTCTGTCTTTTTCACTCCAGAAAATGGAGGGAACCATAGTGTAGCAGTGAAGATATTTGGCAGGCCTATAAAAGAGAGCCCTCTCATTGTTGAGGTCTTAGATGAACACAATCCAGATATCGTATATGGGTCACGTGGCTCTGGGAAAGACCAGTTTCTGCAGCCTGTGGGAATCTGCATTGATGATAATGAGTATATGTATGTAGCTGATACAGGGAATTCTAGAATCAAGGTTTTGAGTCCGCAGTTGAAGGAAGTGCAGCATATTGTAGGAGATGCCCTAGAAGGAAGAAGTGTCACAGGTATAACAAGGACACCCAGTAGCTCGCTTGCCTTTGTCAACTGGAGAAAAAAGACTATCACAGAAGTCACCTCTTCTGGCCAACTTCTGTCACAGTTTACCCATGATCAGTTAAAAGAACCAACAACCCTTGCTGTAAACTGTGATGGAGAGATTCTAGTTGCGGATAATGCGGCCAACTCGATATTTGTCTTCCTATCAGGAGGGAAATTAGTGAGAAGATGGGGGGTTAAAGGAAACAAACCAGGCCAATTAGGATCAATAGCTGCATTGTGTACTGGACCAGAGAATGAAGTAATTGTTGCAGATTCAAGAATACAAGTGTTGCAGAGAAATAGGACATCTCCAGAAGGGCAGTATGTACGCACCAAAACGAAGGTTAGTATGCACCATTTTTGAAACGAAAGGTTAGTATTTTGTCTTTTTTTGTTTGAGCTTAAAATCCTGATCACTGGTTATTGAGTATTCTAGTTCACTATTCAAAAGAATGTCTCAAAACTCTTTTTATGGCCTAATGTTTCTTATGAATTATATGAAAAAATATTATTCTTCTAAAAATTATTTTTCCTGGGGACAATTATTTTGTGAGATAAAATCAGCTTGAATTTATTAATTTGTAATAACCCCATTTGCATTTTGGTCTGAACTTGTTAGTGCCCACTATGACAAATTATGTTAAGATGGATGAACACCTCAATTCAGAAATTTAGTTTTGAGAGATCACTGGTCCAGGAAGGCTTCTTATGAAATTTCTCTATTCTGTCTTTTGTTATCCTGGGGCAGTAACTTCCTGTGGAACCATTATAATCTTAAGATCCTTTTTTTATGGGAACTCATATCAAAAAGGTAAAAAAAAAAAAATGAAATAGATTCTTATTACAGTAGTTCAATCACATAATTAGCTAATTACCAGCTAAAAGGCCAAAAGGCCGAACTCTAGGATGTGAGCCACATGCCGATGGTGCATATATACACCAATAAAATTTTGGTTTATTGCTAATGTACATACATATTTGATCAAGAGATGTTAGTACTGTTTATTGACCTAAAGTCCTGGAGAATACCAGCTATCATGATGTAGATATGTATAATAGAAAGGCTATGTACTGTGATTGGACTAAGGTGATAACTGTATCACATGTATACTCTTCACAAGACCCATTCTTGGTGTGGCATGCTGTACTTGCTACTTAGAGGCTTCAGTAGTGCAGAATGGTTTCATGGAATTCCTCTGAGAATAATGGTGCTCAGTCATTTCTCTTTATATTTTTTTCCTTCTACCTTTCTTTTTTTCCTGAAATATCTTTCGTTCATGGCAATCTCTTTCTTTTTTCCTGAAATATACAAAGTCTCTATTATCTTTTTCTTAATATGTGGAATAGCAGAGGAAAGGAACATAAGCCTAGAACTATGATGTCCAGTCACCATTCTTTTTTGTGTGAAATAATTTTTTTGATCACTTATTTGATTATACTAGATTTATTTGAAAAGATGGAAAATTATTTAAATTAACAATTATATGATGATAAACAGATATTTGATGTTTAACATATTATTATTTTTCTAATATAAAATATTATATTTTTTCTTGATAAAATTTTTATTGATTATTAATTGATTAATATTTCCCATTTATTTCCCCACAGGGGCCCCCCCGCCTCACCCCTAGCCTCCTTTAGGGGATATTGGTTATTATGATTATTATATGCTATGATTTAGGGGATGGAGATTAAGGCCCAAGGTAGGGAATCACCCTCTACTTTGGGCCTCAGCCCTTGCCTTATTTTGCATGGTCTTTTCTTTTCCCCCTCTTTTTCCCTCTCTTCTTCATCCCCTTTTGTCCACTTCCTGAGATGTAAGAGTCATGATCTAATGATGAAAGGCTTTCATTGTGTCATTCATGAACAGCCTCCGGGAGCTATGGGTACAGTATTCCTTTGGTTAATTCCCCTGCCCTTACCCTTTTTGGGGACCCTGAGGGTTAGATGGTTTCTTTTCCCCACAGGCTCATCATGGTCAATAATGAATATGTTTTGTCTTTATTAACGGCATCAAGGAGGCCATCCACTGAATTTTCGACAAATATCTTCAGAAATACTTGAACAATTGAGAAAAAATCTCCCGTAATCTAATAGATTGGCAATCCCATGATGTAGTATTTCTGCTAAAGATCTAAAAATAAAGGAGTTATGACTAAATCTCTGACCACCCCTGCTCCCCCTCTGAATGCTGTTGTATTGTTTTCGTGCTAATATACTTGTCAAAGTTGTTTTTCACAATTTTGTTCAATTTCTTTTGGTACTTTGGTAAAAGCTTGCTGGCAACTGTGCATACTGTATCAACACTGAGACAATGCTGGCAGTCACCACCAGAGAGTCAGAGAGAGAGAGTGTTGCATTTTAATTACTTCATTGTTTTTTATCCAAATGATATGAAACTTGATGTAAATTTTAGTATATGTATATATAACATATTAACCCATTTATGACGGGTGTCCCATATATGAGAACCTGGAAAAATAAACATTGCTGGGTGTCCGGCGGGCGGAGCTTCCCCAGAATCTGTCCGCCCGCCCGCAGGCAGACAAACTCTGGGGAAGCTCCGCCCGCCGATTTTGTAGCCGTCCGGAATCTTTTATTTTTGGCTTCAAAATATAACAGTGTTAATGGGTTAAGGCTTGCCCCTTCATCAACTGGCATATCAAAATTTGATGTCTGTGGTTTCCCAACCCCTGCATCTCCTTTGACCATGACTCCGACGACAGATACTAATACCTCCTCCTCAACATTTACTTTGAACTTAATCCATTCCGAACCACCCACACTTGTCATTACTCAAGCTTCATTATGCACCCCATCCTCTCTCCCAACATTTTCCACTCCATTTCCTGCTGCATAGTCTTCTTCATTGTCTACCCCCTCTTCCCTTAGTACTATTCATCCTCCGTTTTGACCCCCTCCCCACAGTACTACCTCACTCCACTCCACACCACCCCATCTTTCTCCTGCCCTTGTTCTTCTATCATTTCCACCTCCATTAACCTTTTGAGTTCTTTTTTTGGCCCAGCCAGGTGGGATCAGTTCTTTGTGATTCCTCTCTGACAGTATCCATCTCATCTAGCAAGTTTCCTTTTGCAATCACTCTGATAGTTCACACTTTGTGATAGCTGGCAAACCTATTCCTGCCGAACTTCACTCCTCTCTTAATATTTGTACTGGAACTGCTGGTCTCCCCGACTGATTGTTCTATTTACGACAAGAACTGGTCAAACCGTGAAAATGACCTACTTGCCTGCCTTATTGATTATAATGCAGTGGCAGTACAGTGCTACACTATTCCTCCCAGTGGCCAAAGCAAGTCCTACACCAACATTCCCAAGATTAACATGACTTACCCCATGGAGTTTATATTGGTAGAGTGTCCTTCCCTGTCCGATCATATTGACCTATACCTTGTCAATGAAATGTTGGCGTTCTCCAATTGCTCTGCAATTATGGTGGCTCCCATAATGTATTTTATAGGAGCTGCCCTGCCTATAAGCTCAAATGTGAGGTAACAGTTCTCAGCTTCAAACTAGGCCCTGCTCTACATAAGGCTAGACAGGAAGCACAATAACAAGTATTTTCTATCTACCTATTTCAAAATTGTCCGTTCGTCTGCTCCCCTCCCATCTTCTCAAGATGTCTGAGCATCTTCCCTAGTACCTCTTCCCTCTACCCTGAACCATCTTACCTCTACTCCCCCTCTCCCCATTTCAAATTCCTTTTCTTGTCTAAATCCAAATAAGCCAGTCTCTACCAGTCTCTACTACTTCTTCGATGTCTACCCCACCTTTGCACCTGTTGTATCAGACAACCTAAACATTTTACTTCATCTTCTACACCTTTCTCTTCCTCTGCTCCTTGAACATCAATCTCCTCTTCTCACAAGAGAACTTTTATTTCTCAGACCTCCCCACTCAACTCCCCTTCAGAAACTCTTGAGGACATCCCAAAATTCCTAGACAATAGATGAGTCATCTTTCCTCAAATCCCTCTATTCCTATTCCCTCTACATTTGAAGTATTTGGCGATATCTATCCTCCTCCCCCTCATGTTCCCCCTTCCACTCTTTCCCAATACACTCCATCCGTTCCTTCTCCATGTGCACCATTCCCTCTTCATTCCCCATAATTCTAACTTCTCCCACCTGGATGCTCATGTGAATCCCTTCTGTCACAACAGTGTCCTTCTCCAGATCCTTCCTCTCCTGACATTCTTCCTGATACTTGACCTCCTTCCCAAATCCACTTATCTCATTCCCCAGATTTTTTTCCTGATACTTCTCCAAGAGCTGTCTATACCTGTATTACCCATTGATTTTTTTTCATAATAGCTCTTTTACCAGTTTTCCTCAAACAGTATTCTTATTGCTTCCCCAGCTACAGATATACTCCATTTCATCCAATTGCCCTATGCCCTTAACCCTTTTCAATACTAATCTCTGATTTACTTCATTTGTACCCCCTCTTTACCCTTTTCCCTGTTGTACTATCCTATAACACTACAACCTTTGACATCAAATGCATTTTACCCTAATTGCTGACTCATTTTTACCCTTTTCACCATAATACTTTATCATAGTGCTGTATAACCTTAGATGTCTAGCACAAAAACCTAAATGTGCTGATAAATCAAAAACCTAAATGTACTGATGAGATATCCTGCCACTCGTCATTCATACGGATGATATGCTCCCGTCACTCACCCCTCGGCTATTTTTTTTTTTTTCCTTAGCTATATTTTTTCATGGCAAGATCTACAACACCTGGGTCCAATGACTTAGCTTGCCTTTTTTTTTTTGTCTAGCACATTTATTTTGCTTTGTAACCAGTATTTGCTATTTACTGGTACTGTTAATAATTATAATGATGATGGGGGTGGTAATATTATTACCACTTGCAACATGTTCTAAAAATGGTGATGCTGGTGGGAGGGGTACTACCCCTCCCTTTCAGCAAATGAGGTGAGCTGTGGGTCCCATTGAGAGAGCTTGCTCCCAAGGTCCCAGCAGTCGCCAACCCAGTGTAAGGCATATTAGGCAAAGGCCAACGGAACCCCATGGCTTTCTGCCTCCCTCATTGGCAGTGGTGGTGTCCCTAATTGCTGACTCATTTTTACCCTTTTCACCATAATACTTTATCATAGTGCTGTATGACCTTAGATGTCTAGCACAAAAACCTAAATGTACTGATAAATCAAAAACCTAAATGTACTGATGAGATATCCTGCCACTCGTCATTCATACGGATGATATGCTCCCGTCACTCACCCCTCAGCTATTTTTTTTACCTTAGCTAAATTTTTTCATGGCAAGATCTACAACACCTGGGTCTAATGACTTAGCTTGCCTTTTTTTTTTGTCTAGC